ACCATTCTTTTTCTCCACTTTCTGCCCTAACAGTAGCTTTTTGTCCACAATATGGGTTACACATCACAATTATCAAGCACTGAGGCACACCCATTTCTTTCAGAACCATTTGTGTCTTCTTGTGATCTACATGGTCAAATGGTTCGGTTTAAACATAGTCTGATTGATCTTCTGAAATTCTGGCCTGGGTGGGCACTCAGGCCTGGAAGCAAAGTCTGGCCATCGTGGGGTCTCAACGGGGGCCCCTGGAGTTCCTCAGAGGCCGCACCCTCTTGTCCAATCACTAATCATTTCATGGTTTGCTGGACTCTGAAGTTTCCTTTCTCTATTAAAAATTTGAAATGCCTCTCCTAAAGTTAAGTTACTGGCAGAAAGTGCTTTGGCCCCACCATCCCCCTGGTGCCACCATATGCTGATTTAAGGGGTTATTTTAGTCCTGAGTGTTTCACCTTTGGTATCACAAAACACTGTCCTCAGAGATGCAATATGGCACATGACTGATAGAGGTTCTGCATCCTCAGGTTGTAGGATTTTGGGGAAACTCTGCCAACCCAGCAGCATAGCAGATGTATTGCTACCATGACAGATATGCTGATAGAACACGCAGCTGGTAAAAAAGCACTAGTGGACTGGCTGAAATCAGACATGGTCATGAATAGTACACTTACGCCATATCTTATAGCTGTGTGCAATCCACAGGCACGTTCTTGTGGATAGAGCAATTGCATCACAGAACTAGCACATATTATTTCCTTCCCACTGACTTTAATGCGAGAGATCTTTTTTTTTAAATAGCTGCCCTGTGTCAAATACCACCTTGCCCACATCTCCACAACTGATCATAGGGTATCCTGTAACTCAGCACCTAATCACAGCGTACAACTAGCAGAAAATCAATACCACAGAGCACGACCATAACTCTGATGACAGGGTTTGTGGCCTGGGACTATATTCATCAACCTCAGGTCACAGACACCTTCGGCGCACAAGGAAGAACTTTGGTGGAGGGAAAGAGGAAAAGAGAAATGGCATTTCCGCACAAAGGTAGTGTTTGAACAAAAGTACCTGTCTCCAGAAATAAGTTGCTGAGCCCATTGCTACCTCTTCTCTACCCAGGACTCTAACAGGTACCTCACCTTGGGACTCTGGATGAAACTATCAGTCTGTGCCAGCAGCCAGGCTTTCCAGGTCAGAGCACCTCACCCAGGTAAGCAAGGCAATTGGGAAACACAAACTATACTGTGATGGAATATATACCTGATGTAATATATAACTGTGTTGTATGTGTCTCCCCTGCCACCCCATAAAAATGCAAATATTGTATCTTATTGTATTGTTTTAACATATTTGCCCCACAGCAGCTGGGGGTAAAATATCCATATTGAGGGGAGGCACTAATCCTCATATATAGGTACGCTCTCTGTCCACAAAGGCCAGGCACTGGGGGTCTTTGCAAGAAGCCAGGGGTGGGGGTCATGTCTGCCTTTTTTAACCACTTGGGCATTGTCTGTTTTTGTGTTTTCTCCCTCCTCTCCTGAACACACACTGGAAAGGGTAGTTGTTCTGCTGGTGTAATGGTGACATGCCTGTAGCATGCCTATAGCATTCCTTGTAAGGCATAATAAATTTACCAGTGAAGAAGTTTAGCATTAGTTATAGTTGCATAAAAGTGCCCAGGTGTGCTCAAGAGCCTAGACTCAGTGACTAGCAAAAAGGAACAAGTTCAGTAAGCACATAAATGATCCTGTTAAGTTAAACATTGATAAACCGCATGCCATGTTGCAATTTGCATTAAAACAGCATTCATAGCAGGGGTACAAAGTATACATAAATCGTGTTCAGCAGACTGGGACATGTGCCTCTTCTGCCATGACTGAACATGATTCCTGAGCAGTACCAGTCAATGGAGGGATTGCACAGTGCAAACTGTTTCCTCTTACAGCTTGGTAGTAGATGATACAGAATGCCCTTTATTCTACTAGGTTAATGGTTTAGTTTCAAAGCATCCAATACACTCAGCATTGTGCTGATAGCACACTGTATTAAAGAACATTGCCCCATTAAGAACAGAATTTAAAGAACACGGCATGTGGGCAATACTCATACAGCTTAATTTAACAGAAGTTGCTGATTAACCTTGAAATTCAAACAGTAAAGTACATTAGGATGTAATCCTATGCCTCGTTTTCCAAGAGTAAGCCCTATTGAACTCCGTATGACTTACTTCTGGGGAGAAATGTGTTAGATTGTACTGTGCTATCAATTACACCTTTGTAATAGGTTGCATGGCTGCCAAGGAGAGACAAAGATGGCAATGATTATATTTTGTATAGTCTGGCCCACTGTGAAAGTTAACCACATCATCCGTTGGCTTCCAGATGGCACACACACTTGTGAACATGTGCATGACTGTGTAACAGGAGGTGTTAAGAGGATGCATCTTTCCCTAATCAGACAGAAGCAGAGATCTGACAGGAGCAAGGAAATAATATATTGTAAAATTCATCCATAGGCAAGATCTTAGCATAGATAGCTATTTCTAGCATGCTTCAAAGCTAGCTGCTGCACCATAATGATTTTTAAGGCTTGTAAGCTTAGGGTCTTTTTTTTTTTTAAAGGAAAGCTCCTACTCTTAGTACTCTTTTAAGTATTTACTCCCCACCCCCAAGAATATATTTCTGGTAACTTCATTATAGGTTTTAGATTTTGAAGGGTTCCCCAGCTGGGCTCTGGTGCCTTAAGAGCAACATAACATGAAGAAATTGAACAAAACTATTTACCACTTGGATCTCTTTGCTAGCCTCCCCAGTGTTTGCCTAACACGAAGCTGCTAAAGGTACAGGAACCCCACCAGGAAAACAGTGACAGCCCTAGGATAAAATAGTGCTACCTTTGTTTGTGAAGAGTGGGACACAACTTTGCGACTAAACAGCAGCAACAACCATTGTGCTAATCATTAGTTTTAGAGCCTAGATAATGTTGCCTGATTGCTTATTCGTGAGATTTTGTATAGTAGGTTAAAATACTACCTTTGAAATGGAAGCAAATATTATTTTGCATACAATTAAGGATTTTTAACAAAACAAGCTCTTCACTGATTTATAGCAAAATAATGTATATAATGATGCACATGCACATTATTAATCCTGTAGCCCTTTAAGACTGTGATTTTCATATATCTGTTTAAAGAATGTAGTCCTTATTGTTATAATTGGCAGCATAACTTGTGTGATTATTAATAGTGTATCCTAGTCTGGTATTCAGGAGATTTCAAACAAAATTAAGTTAATAACCATCTTAGAGCCAGAGTGTGGTTTCTAATACACGGACTGAAGTTTTTCCTTTTTCCAGAAGATGGCAGCACATTTGGTATGCCATGAAAGTCAATTGTATCTATGGTAACTATAGAATGATATTACTGCTGTTCCTTTCATTTTTCACACGTTTTACACGAATCAGGAATAGAAAGTGCTACATATGTAAAATGTGCTCAAATGACACCTCAAAAGAACACTTAACTGTTTCTGTTACCATGCTTACTTAAAAGGTGATGAATGGTCATTTTATTGCCATCGTGCTGATTGTTTCCATGCTGAGCCTTGGCTTTTTGCAAAAGGAAAAGAGCTTTCTCCCATTTCTGAGGCAGAACCTGTAATATGCATTCTCCTTCCTAGTTTAGTGACCCTTATCGCTAGAGAGGTGTGCCAGCAGCTGTTTCCTTTGCTTTTCTGTTTCAGCAACTCAGGCAAAGCACATGGATCTCGCTCACACTATGGAAAGGAGTTTATCAACTGCAGGTATTAGAAACAAGAATGTACAATATGACTGAGCATGTGAGAGGAAGGCGGGGGAGTGGGCACAGTGAAGCTAAGCTTTCAAGAGGGCCTCTGGGCTAAGACCAGTTCCCGTCAATCTAATCCAATTCTATGCCGAATCACATAGCTACATGCTCTCCTGAGCGTCTGCCTGACCACACCATTTTCCTGCCCATTTGTTCCACTGGCCTGCCCCTGTCTGGGCCTCTGGGCAAGCGCTTGGTCCTTTCCTCTTCAGAGACAGCGAGGCCCGGACACACTAGAATGGGCTGCCTCCTCTTGCACTTTCCTCTGGGAGTGATGCTTTGGCTTTATTTCCCAGTTGTGGCATGATGCCTACACTTCTGCGCTTGAAGGGAGTGCACTGCTGTAAAGGGGGTGCACCCAAAAAGGTGTCTTGTGCTTTTCTTAAGGAGGAAGCATGTAAGTCTGCTAAATAAATAAATAAACTGCTAAAGCTTCTTTGCGACGGTGCAAAACAGCTCCTTCTCTGCTCTAGCTTTTGCAAGGTTGCATAGCCAAATCATAGGGCTACCCCTTGGAGATATGCAGTTGAAGGGGGTGCAGTTTGTGGAAAAGGGGCATAATCAGCTTTAGGGTCCATCATAGTGTGTCGAGATCTGTCAGCAGCTGAAGAAAGTAAAATATTGAGGCAATCCATGGCTCCAGGGACTGCCTGAAGCAGTGGCGAGCCATCGTTCTTTTCCCCCGAAGTTCCATTCTCCTTCATTGCCGTGTTCCATTTCTACCTCATAGAATGCTCCTCCATAATGAAGTGGGTAGCAAGGAATCCTATTATACAGTGGGATTAGGCAGTCGACCAGGTGCTTTAATATCAAATAATTATCTTGCCGGTTTAATAAGTTGTAATTGTGCATAGTCGTCGTAATGGACGCACCGCCTATGAAAGCGCTCTCGGAACTGGCGGAGGCGGCGACCCCAAGTCTGGCCGCCGCCGCCGCCGCCCGCGCCTCAGACTCTGCAGGCCCAGCTCCAAGTGCGCCACATCTTCTAGTCTTCTGGAGGCGGGGGAGGCCGAGAAGGATTTAAATTGACGTGCAGGGCAGACCAATCATCTCCGAGGGCGCCGGACGATTACGGCAGCCACCACCCAATGGGAGGGCTGCTGAGGCGGGGCGCGCTGGGTGTGAGCAAAGCGCGGTCGGTTGGTAGCGGCTGAGGCACATTTCTCCTTGCTTCGGCGGCGGCAGGCGAGGAAGGGCGGCGCAGAATGATGCGGCTGCGGAGTTCCGCGCTGTTGAGGGACCTGCTGCGGCTCAGCCACACTGGCGGGATAAGCGGCGGCGGCGGCGGCTTCGGCTGCTGCCGTCGCCTGGCGCTGAGGTGGCTCCATCCCGCTTTGCCCACGGTTGCCGGCGGCCGCCCGCCTATCCGGCTGCCGCCGTGCGGCGGCCGCTCCTTATGCACCCGCTCGGAGGGGATCCTGGAGGAGCCGGGCAAGGGGCCCCCGCAGCAGAAGCAGGCGGCGCCGTCCGCGGAAGCGCCGTCCTCGGCCGCCGGCGACGATGGCCCCGGCGCAGGCCCGGGCAAAGAGGCGGGCGGCTCGGGGGAGAAGTGAGTGCGGCAGTCAGGGGAGAGGACTCGTGGTGGGGCTGGATGCGGAAGGCCACGCGGAGGGGAGGGGAAGGGGAAGAGAAGGATGCTCGCTCGCTCGCTCGCTCGCTCGCCCGCGGCGGCTGGGCGCGTGCCTGCCTCGGCCTGCGCGCTTCCTTCCCTTGCCGCCTTGTGCCATGTGACGGGGCGCCGTCCTCGCCGCCAGGGTGGGAGAACCGGGCCCGCACTCCGGGTCTCCTGCACACCCTCAAGGGGTGCTAGTTTTCTAGCAAGGAGAAACGGAAGTTGGAGCTGGGCGACTTCCACCGCCCGCCAGCCCGCCCGCCCGCCAGCCAGCCAGCCATGTGGCTTTGCAGCCAAAGCGCGGGGGGAGACGCAGGGATGTGTTTTTTAAGGCCCGGCTACCATCCTCCTCTTGAAGTGGACACTGGAATCTCCAAAGAAAGCGAGTTGAGGCTTGCGTGGCTTCATTTCTGCCCTCAGTACCAGGGATAGGTTTTCAAAAACCATCAGGAAATGGTAATCGGAAGGTGAATCTGAGTATCTGCAGTTTCTCACCGCTGAGTAATTCCAGTTAGTTCTTTAATATCTAGCATTTTAAGCATTGGGTATCGAGATCAGAACATCTAGGTGGCCTTCTGCTACCTTTGAGCTCTTCTTCTTTTTTTAATGTTTCTGCTATTCATGTAAGTCTTACATTGTAAGAAATGATATTTTTTGAAATATGCCGATGTAGGCTAGTTATCATTTAAATGCCTTTTGGTCACAGCCATAAGGTGACCAGGCATACTTATGCAGAAGTCCTATTATGTTCTGTGATGTTTAGGATGGCAAATCAGTTCTAGAAGCATGATTGACCTTCTTCCTTTTTACCCATATTCTTAAAGAATAGGGAAGTAAGCTGTTCTGTTAGATGTCTTGAAAAAAATGTGTAGAAGTGTGATCTCTGGGATGTAGTATAGGCAACATAGTCTTCAGATTTGAGTGAGCAGTGACTAGCTGTGGCTTAGCACCCTCCTCCTGGGTAAGGCTTATCCATGTACAGAGTGGGAGAGAGGATGAATTCAGGATATTTGCCCCTGAAATACAATATGGGCTGCTGTGTCATCTTTTACCCTCCTTGTGTGAGTTTTTCCATTTCCGGCATTTTCCCAAGATCAAGAATTGGGCATTGCCTATATCATAGAATGAAACATTTAGCTTTAGCAACAAAATCTTGCATCGAATGTTGAAGTGTAGCCTGTGAAGCATCTTCTGGTTGAATTACTTATTCTTTAGCTGTTGGTCTGTCCTAACAAAAAGAGACAAACTGGGAGGTATCACAGAATGAACTGAGTATATTAGACTTGGAAGTTCCACAGAAGTTTTTGTTGTTTTCCCTAGGAAATTGCCATGATAAATAACTACTTTTCAGTGGTGGTAATACTCCTGCATGTGACAATATGTATTTATACTGTTTGTGTCAAACTTGATGCAGGTTTATTTTTGGGCAATCGATGATAGCAAATACTAATTTTATACTGATTGGTTTGTCAAGGTTTCATTGCTTTCTGTTAATTTTCAGTGCTAGTTCAAGTGGCTGTGTAACTGCAGGCACAACTAGGAATTACTAGAGGACACCTTTAAAATTTAGAATCCATAAGAAATACCACCTTTCAAACTATTTTAGCAAAAAGTTAATAGGGTGGATAATGAAAAGATGAGAGAAAATTTATTTACGTTCCTTCTCTCAGGTCCAGAGAGATCTCCCATGGTTTTGGGAGCTCATACAGGGTAAAGATTGATTCTTGTGATACAATGTAAAAACAAATCTCTTGATTCTTGCTCTTCATTTGGTGCTACAGGGCGCTTAAACTATAAATTTAACATGCATATTTTGGATTATTGAACAAAAACTGCTTGCTATGTAGATCATGGTGACTAAGGATTAATGCATTCTCAAATTGTGCAAAATGGTTTCTGTTTGCTGAATTATTTTAAAGAAGAAAGAACTTTTTTGCCTTTACAAAAAGATGTGCAGTAAATTGCAGTAGTTTGCTTTCTTCTGGAGATAGTACTGTTGAACTTCTTAAACTTTTCATTTCAATTTGGAAAAGTGAGTGAAAAGTTCAAGTCAGCTCCTTTGACCGAAGCCTGCACTAGCTATGAGACACAGTTGTAAGAATCTTTCTCCCCAGCTTTGGTTTTAAACCCAAAACAGCCTTGGGAAGCAGCAGGTTTGAGCTCAGGAATGATGGGATGGAAGGGGCTGCTACTTCAACCATTGTGTGTATGTGTAGTTGTTGCTTTTGTTTTATGGTTGTAAGCTCCCCCCCCCGGGGGGGGATATTTGTTAGATACAAAACTAAGAAATACAATTTTGTGTCACTTTACACTACTAAAACCAACAGGCAATGTGCAGACATGCCAGGCTTTCCAGCTAGAAATAATTCAATAGACTAAAGTCCAATAATGTCCATGGGGTCGCAATGGGTCGGATGCGACTTTGTGACTAACAACAACAGCAGCTGTCCAATAAACTGCATGGCTTATTCTCAGACTTGTTTTCATTTAATGATGATAGATGAATATAAATACTTTAGCATGGCATTGCTGTACTTTTAGTTTTAACTAGCTAACTTGATTGCCACTATAGTGCCTGTTCAAATTTACAGTGCATATGACAGTTCTAAGACCTGGTCTTTAACTTTCAGGACCTGCCTAACTGTCCCTAATGATGTGTGTTTTCCAGGAAATTTTGAACTGATAAAAACCACCATTCCAAATTAAGTTAACTTGCATCAGAAAATTTAAAAGTACCCTTAAAGTGCTTTGGACCAAGCAATTCTGGCTTGTGCTATTGGGTCCAGCACTAGATTGGAGCTGTCTGCCCTAGAGAGTGATTTAAATTAGCAACTTTATTTTAGTTGTATTTACTAAACACAACAAATGTAGTTGTGATAGTTGAACATATTATTCTTTGTTCCAGTAGGCCATAATTATTTGATCCAAAGTATTTGAGGAAAAAAAAAAGCACTCTTAAAGTGCCTTAATTTTTTTTTTTTTTCCAAATGCTTCAGGTCAAGTATTTGTGGCCTAATGGGACTGAAAAACTTGATATGCAGTACTGTTTTAGCACAGGATTGTGCCCTTAATGTGAATTTAATGTTATGTTGACATTTTTATTGGCAGAGGTACCTCATACTTCTAACTTAATTTGTTTCAGGAGGCCATTTGAACTCTGAATTGTTCAAAGTCTGAATCAGCTTTCCCCATCAGAAATAATGCGAAGTGAATTAATCCATTCCCAGACCCTAAACAATACCCATTTCAATTAACCTAAACAGCAAATGCAGCCCCCTGAAATGAATTAATACATACAAGGCACCACTGTATTAGAATTTATGTCAGTAATGTTATATTAGTGCATTTAATGTGCCTTACTGAAGGCGAAAAAGTGAAGAAAAGCACTGAAAATGCATGAGTGTTATGTAAGAGATGTTTCACAGTGAGAGACAACTTGGGCGCACAACAGATCATGTTTATGTTGCGATCGCATTTTTTTCACTTCATGTGTGGTTTGAATGTGGAAGCATCATTCAGACTTTGGAGCAATTTTATCTTGACTTTAACGTTTGAACTCTAGAGTTGTTCGAAGTACGAGACACCACTGTACTTGCATAAATTTAGTTAATGGTCATGAGCGTCATCTTCAAGAAGCTATTTAATTTCCAGTCTGATGATTTGATTATTAAGCTGACTGTTTTCTCTATTTTCATTTCTGTACTGTTTTGGTGATTGTGTTCTTAATTTGGTTTTTAAAAATAAATTATCCACCTCAGCACACCTGCCCATTGCATAGTATAATACATGAATACATTATTAAAGTGTGAAGAAAAAATATGTAATATCTTTATATTGCTTGAATTTAAGGAAAAAAACAAAGATACTTTGTTTACTATTTACATAAATAAATTTTAGCAACCCAAAGAACTGTACTTAGTAACAATCACTCATCTATAATTTCAAAACTGACAGTCTTGCCTAATACTGCATTTGTAACTGCTATCTATTTATTGATAGATAATATATATTTATTGATCAATAAATTGATCAATATATTTATTGACAGAAAATATGAAGACTTAGGACATTTTCCAGCTGTATGGGGTGATGGATTATAGTAGCTCGGACAAATCAGCAAAAATTGGGTACACTAGCTTCTGTCAGCATGAAACAGCCATGGGCTATTAAATAACTAAGTATAATTTTACCTAAATAATTCTTACCCAGTGCTAGCCATGTGTCTGTCACAGTAAAAAGAGTTGGGATTTTAATATGCAACTTTCCATAATCAAATAAGATAAAGGTGTGATTAGAAGTGCCTGAAATATTTCACCTGTTCTTATATTGCAGCAGCAGATCGTGGGTTAATTAATTTGCTAACCTATGGTTAGTTTTTAGGTTAACTCTGGATTCTTGAACTCATGATTAACCCATGTTTGGGTTTGTATAAGATGCAGCAGTCTACAGTTAGAGACTGATTCTGCAAAGTCACATTGGTTCATGTGTGGCATGCAGCTGAGCAAAATTATCTATCTATCTATCTATCTATCTATCTATCTGTTTTGTGCCCTGTCCACCACTGACATTTCAGGACGGCTTACAATACTAACCCATGATTTGCCATGGTTATCTGGAAACTGGGCTGTTATCTTTTCCCACCTCTCAGTTTGGGGATGCTATCAGCTGGGGTGTGGAAATTCTCCTTTGTTGAATTTCATCTGGCCCTTCTAAGGAGAGTTTTGAAAGAGCAGAACAGGCTGGCTGCAGCTGTACAAGTCACATTTTCAAAGCTTTCCTCTTTTGGCAGAAGGCTGCTTAATTGGAGGAATGCCTTTGAAAATGCAAAATGGGTCATTTTAATCTAACCCAATCCTTACTTTCAAAGCTTCCCTCAGGTGGAAAAGGTGCTTTTTAATTTTGTATGGCCACCAATTTATTAATTTCTTTGGGGAGTG